ACCCTAACCCTAATTATGACACTCATAACCCCCACCCAGCCCTAACCCTAACCATAAGTAACCAAACAAAATACAAGACTTTTCGCAACTTCAGTTTTTATAAAATCGAATTTCCCCTTCTGGGGAATGGAAAAATGGTGCCCACTATGTCAAAATAGCAGGCTTTTCTCGCATTGTGGGGACATCTGGTTCGCATGATGCGATAATTACATGACCACACAGACACAAACACACATAGACAGATAAAAAGAACAGACAGACAGTGAGAGACAGAGCCCCCTCCCCCATAGAAAAGAAAGTCAGGACTGATGAGACCCATCATTGTGATGTATCATTCATAACCCCCCCCCCCCCATAAACACACCACCCCCCATGCCTCTTTCAGGGTGCTAACTCGCAGATGCCCCCCCCCACAACACCGACTCACTTGCCAAGGCAGTGACTATGAGGGGGATCAAATTGCATGTAATTCCCAATAAGGAGCTTTCCTGCGATAAAAAACCATCAGTGATCATCGGGCCGTCCGTCACGCACGCGTGATCACACGCTATTTCGTGACTGTAACATGCTCCTGTCCCAGGAGACTGCCACCATCGGCTCACGGCCGCCGGACCTTGAAATTGCCCGAGAGAGGAGTGTCTAGAGGGTAATCACCCTCAGCGCTGAGCTGGGGGGGTTGCATCCCTCACTGAACCATCTGCCCGAGAAGTGAGGGAGTCTCCCCTAAAAGGTGAACGTGCACTAAGCTGCTCCTTGTGTAAAGACCATTTTAACAGCAGTGAAAATTCCGCCTCACTTCCTGCTGAAGGACACACAAGTCCTCACGGGGAGGCCGGAAACAAACGCCATGCACTTTGTCATTTTAGATCCAGCATAATGTCTGGTTATGACCAGTTTACCACGGCAGTGCGGTAGAAAATGATGAAGAAAGCATCGAAACGCACGCCAGTAGACTGAGAGGCGTGCTGCGTGTTTTTTATGAATGAAGGGTTGTGGATTCTTTACACATGAGCCACAGCCGGCCAATCAGAGCTCGGGGCAGTGATGCTGGCGCACCGTGTCACCGGCCACAGCCGGCCAATCAGAGCTCGGGGCAGTGATGCTGGCGCACCGTGTCACCGGTGCTTTCCCCCTTTTAGTCGGCCATCTGTCCCGGCCCGTTCACCGAGCCCGCAGGACAGCGACGGCACACAGAGCGGGATCGAGAATCACCGAGGCGTGCCGCCGGTAACCTCATTTCGTCCGACACGGAGCCAAATTCCCCGCCGATGCACTAAAAGCCCATTAGTACCGGGGGACCCGCAAAACTAGAGCAGGAGACGAAACCTTCATGTTAGAGATGTACTTTAACCCAGATAAATAGCCGCCTAGATGCAGGACACCCTCCAGGGCCCCACGACCCTGTTTTACCGTGGCCTTCACATTTAGACGAGAAGGTCTCACTTTCAGACAGACCTACAGCTCGACGATCTCTGAGAGCCAGGCACGGCACGAGGAAGGAAGCGATCAATCCCCCATTCGGCCCTGGCCTCGGCACGGCAGCAGTGATTAAAGGACACGGGGGCCGTAGGCAGAGATGGGTAGCAGGAAAAAACACGGGGACAGACCCTCAGAGCAGCTGCACCGTGTAGTAATATGGTCACAGTATTAGCAAGCTGACCTCCACAAAACCATCATACCATGCCGATCCTGTGGGGGGGGGGGGGGGGGGGGGGGGGGGGGGGGGGGGGGGTGAGGCGCTCCGCTCAGGACCGACGGCACCAACAAAGCGCTTCATTTTTATTACCCTGCAACAGCCGCTGACGGCAAACCCTCGGTCCCTGCAGCATTTATATTCACTGTCACCCAAAAGTGACACTAGAAAACAAATATGTGCATGCATTTAATGCCCCGAGCAGCTGTTGAAAAATATAAGCCATATACCGCGAAGAAAAAAATACATTACCTACAATAATGAAATCATTAGGCGGGGCGTAAGATAGTAAACTATTTTAAACATCGATGAGAAAACTAACAGCAAAGCTTTACACTGTGTTGTGCGGGGGGCGGGGTGACGCTTTATCTATTGTCCTGCAAAGAGTCGCTCAACGCGGATTTCTGATCCGTGCAGGCGGCTGGACGTGTAAGGATCCTGGGCAAACCTGGATGGAAATCTGCGTCGGGACGAATTCAGGGACAGAAGCCACAACCCGGTTCACTGTTACGGATGATCTTACGTTTTCATTCAGAAAAACGGAGCTCACGGTGCTATGGGCATCCATACGCTTCTACACACGTTTATCCAGCTTGCGGTTGCACGGTCCACCATGTGCCGAAATAAAGTCGGATGGATATATATGATGCATGAAAATATCCGACAATTGCATTTAGAAAATGCGACTTCATGGACAACTTTATCATGCATTGTTGCTTTTTTTCTCTAGCTTTAAAAATGCAACAATGCACTTAAAGTTCGTTACAGACTCACCTGCCTGCGTTGTATCAGTCAGATCGTAGCTCATCCCGGGGTAATCTCTCAACTTCCTCCCGCTGAGGTTCAGCATGCCGGAGCACACGGCATCCTCCAGGGCGCGATCCAGGCTGCGGGCCGTGGGGACGTGGTGCTGATGCTGCGATATACCCGCCGTCCAGTGCGGGACGCTCGGGTAGTGCTGGCTCTGCAGAGCGGCGATCGCTCCCCCACCTCCCTGACTCGCCGCCATCTTCGCACAGAGACACAATCCGGCCGATAATAAACGGCGCTGCCCCTCCGCCCATGCGCACAGCGCCCGGGCCAGCAAAGGGAAGCAATGGGGTGGCAGTTCCGAAGACGGGGCTGGGCTCCCAGCAGGGGCGGGTCTCCAAGGGGTGGTGGGAGGTCCAGCTAGGGGTGCAAAGCGTGCTTTTATGTCGAGCGCACTCTTCCAAAGCTATTCATCGTTGTTTTCCAGCACATGCATTATAAGTGAACTTTGTAATTTGTTAATTGACGTCATTCAGTTACGTTGTCATTCATATACTATTATCTGTAGCATTTTATTAACACCTATTTGGGATATGGGTTTACAAGTAGGCTAATGGAGTAACTAATTAAGTTATAAAATATTCCCCAGCCCTTGTATTTTTCCCTCTGGGGTTTTTGTGTTTTTTAATGTTTGATGAAACGCGGATATGATTTTCCCAGGCGGCTTGTAATCTTGTCCTTGCCAAGGTGTCATACTCGATCGCCCTCTTTCGTTATTAGATCAGTGGCTATTTTAGGGTGTGTTATGAAGCATGCAAACGCATGTCGACTTGGGGCAGGGCAGCCCCGCTATCCGGGGGACGACGAGAGGCTGCAGCTGTCCGCCCGGGCTGCCACTGGAGAGGTCGTGCAATTATTCTTCATATACGCTTCTGTTGGAAATGTCCCGACTCTAATAACGCGAGAAGCCTGGTTAGGATCCTAAGTACGAAGCTGTCGGTTATATAAGGAGAAGCGTGTCTGGAGAAAGTGACTTTGAAACAGAAGATTATGGGCGACAATATAGCGGAACCGGAGGCTATGGAGGAGACCAACAGCTCGGAGAAGATTGACCTGTCACTCGGTTGGTGAATAAAAAGAGGGGGGGGGGGAATTACACAAGGCACTGAACGAATCTAATTTCAGGGATTCCATCAATGCGCAAGTCATTCCTTTGATGGCCAAAATCCCTTCGGTTTCTCACAAGATTTTATATGTCCTGCTTATTTGCGAAATAACATGGATTTACTGGCACACTGTGGCAATCGTGGGGGGTGATATATGTCACAATGAGGGAGGGGGTGCATGCTTACAACCCTATTTGCAGCAGCCAATCATTTCACAGAAATATTAGTCTGAAAGTAGGCATAGATATTAAACAATTTAATGTTTAAACTTGTTTGCCTTAAAACTGCGACGGTATTTCACAGCAACGATAAAACACATAGGCCTCGCATACGGTTAAATGTCACATCCATGAAAGGCGACCCAATAATCCGCGTCTAGCTCTCCGTTTACTCACATTCATTCTGCTTTGCTCCCCGGGGGCCTGACCATATATCTGCTGATCGGTCATTCACTGCAAACACCTTCCAGCTGTCGTTTCTCTTGCCTTTAGACGACATTATTAAACTCAAAAAAGAAGAAGAAAATGTGACTCTTGGTGGCTTTAAGAGGAAGAACCGGCAGGCGAACCGCAGCAACTTATTTAAGAAGTTTAATAAGGCAGGACAGCAGCAAGGCTTCCGTTTCAGAAGGGGCACCTACCACATGCAAGGTAAGTCCAGTCGGAATAGTCTTATTATAGCACTTTATAAAATAAGTTTATGTACTAAAAGTAAGTACAGACCTGCGTTGCTCCTTTACAGTAGGCTAGTAGTCACACGCTTACTCTCCGGTGATTTCTAGTTTTTATGTTTCTTGGCTACTTAAACATGCAGTCATATAAAGTGAATTGCACAGTTCCCTTTTATAGAGCTAGGTATTTCGAGATTTGTTAAGGTAATACTTAATACTGCTTATGAAATTCTAAGCTTAGGCCTATTTAAGGCCCCATGCAAGTCGTAGTGATTGTCTGTGTTTGGGGTTGAAATCATCGTTGTTTTCTTTACTTTTCCTTCAGTAACCCCCCACCCCCATCCGGTGAAATATTAAACTATAGCCACGTACACCATATGGTTACACGTAGTCACACGTTATTCTCAGGGTTGCCAACTTTGTTCAACTGGGTGGCGTGAAATTTTCAGTTAGAGACAAGTCTGCACACACATTTGCATGTATGGAGCAGTTAATTATCTTGTGAATAGTCTGCAGGGTCTGCAAACTACCCCAACGCTTTAGCTGTAGCTAATTTTAGGTTTATAAAGGAATAATATAGATATGCCGGAAGATTTCTTGAGTTTCACGCCAGTCCGTAGCCCTGTAATCCACTCACAGGGGCAGACTTGTAGTTCAACCCATAGGCGGCGCTAGACCCTATTTAAGCGGGGCTTAATCCTAGAATAGGCCATAGATTTAACCCTATCCGTTCTCGGTCCCGGTATCACAGCCTTGACAAACCATTTCAGAAGAAATGTCTAGTTCTTTAACTAAGTAAATAAAACCACGGGCCTGTACGTTTCTTTGAATAACTGGGACTAGTACGCGTTTAGAATGATCTATCAAATGCACCATTCAGTGAAGCGATCTTCTTGGGACTGCCTATGTTGATTACTGATCAGGACTGATCATCGCCACAAAAGTAAGACTGGTTGTTCCGGCGTGATGCGCGGCTCTCTGAGTTAGTCCCGAAGCTGACTTGGTCCGCAAATATCGACACCTTCTGCCGAACCGTTCGCAGGGCTCAACAGGTTCCGATACATTGGGCCACCCGTGCGCGACTTCTACAGAAGCAGACCGTACAACCGGGGGAGGAGCGCGCCGAAAGGAATCAGCCCTATGAACAGACCGCAGTGGGACGCTAAGGTGCACTGATAAGATACTTACTGATCCCACATCGGGGAAATTTACTTGAAGATAAACATTAATAAAGAACAAACCAACTGATACGTTAACAATAGAACAAATAAGAAAAAATATTTAAGACTTGTGCACACAATTGCACATATTGCGCTCATGCATAGTATAATTGCACAGATGTAATGACACATCTGTACATGCTGTACATGCACCGAGTGAATATAAACAAACATGTTACACGTACAGTGGATATTGCAATAGTTCTGACGAGTTGAGCTACCTATCGAAACGTGCTATCGAGCCTTTCGGCGCATGTACAGTTCCACCGTCTTGGAATTAGGGTTACGTTTTAGGGGTTATGATTAAGGTAAGGATTTTAGGGTTTTTTGGGTGGTTAGGGTTATGGCTATCGATTAGCACTATGGTAGCCTAACTCGACAAAGTAGCTCAACTCGACAGAACACCGGTCTACATCAGATTGAGGTTTGCTCTAAACTCAGTTAAGTTTCAGGGTTGAAAAATAACTCTTAAACGGTGAGTTTCCAGAAGCCTTCTTAACGCTACGTCATAATTATGTTGTTATCTACCTTTTGGCATAGAACTTACGAATGACGTAGCATTACGAAGGGCTTCGGGAAACTCATCAATGGTTGATGCCAGCCGTGTCGCTAGCGCTCACTGAGGACTTTTGGGTCTTTTCTCACCCAGAATGCCAAGCAGTTTGGACAACGCAGCAACCGCTTCAGGGGCTCCTTCTACCAGCCCTACAGAGGCCAGCGGGGACCTCCGAGAAGGTGCGTGTTTTACAATATCATAAGAAACGCATTAACGTGGGATTTACTGGTAAAAATATGTTAGTATTCGCCGTATCATGGATATATTTCATCACTGGGCCGCAACACGTGTTAAATCTATTTGCTTATCAGGAAACTTTTATCCTATTACCCATTTGCGTATATTTGAGCACCGTCACGGACGGTTTATTTCCCCTTGTGTCCGGGGGGGGGATCCATTTTCATTCCTCTGTTTTTATTACAGGATGCCTCTCAACCAGAGTTTCCAGTATTCCCAGCAGAGACCATACAGGGCAAAGCCGGTTAAATTGAACAGAGCGGTTAGTTAAAAAAAAAATCTACATATATTTTTACTGCCTTTATAGTAGGCATATAGCCTACGCATTTCATTCCATTGATTTTTTTTTTTTATTTTTAAAATGTAATAAACAGAATTTCTGCTCTGGGATCAATGGTTTTACTCCCGTTTTCTATATCAACTTCCTTTCAGCGTTTGATTATTACAGACGCGTGTTTTCGTATATCTTAGGGAGCAGTTAAATCGAGTTTTTTTTCCTCTGTAGTTTAGTCCCTGGAAATGGGGCGAAAACCCGGAGCGATTTCAGAAAGTGAGAAGGTAGGGAAGGTGTCGGATGGCTTTCGGAGACGGGCTTTCCACCTCGCCGTGCCTGAGACCCGTTTCAATCTCGCCCAAAGGTGGGGGAAGGCGCCCTCTTCTGGATCCATCTTGACAGTATCACTACCGAACTCGAAGGCGAACTCGGATCCGCAGTAAGTCCTGTAGCTACATCGGAAGGTACATTATTATTTATTTGGCGGCTACTGATGTCCGACATACACGTGAGGCAGAAAGTACATTATCAGCACATTTTTAGGAAGTCCGTTAAAAATACCAGTCGGTTTTCTTTTTAATGGCTCATTTTTCTGCATTTGCAAATAAGCTAATACGTATATCCACATGCCTATTTTTGTGTTTCTGTAACCATTTGGTTTAACATTAGTTTACTCAATCGCTGAGGAACAATCAGATTTGTGTTAAGAGCACAGCAGGACTACCATCAGCATTCCGAAGTGATGATCTTATTATTTGTTACCACAAGGGGGCACTGTTAGCACGAGTGTCTGCTTCGTTAAACTGGTGCGCGCCTATTGCATTCAGTTAGATGAGGAGTGATATGACATGAACCAAACCTTAGAGCAGTGTTTCTCAAACTGCACCCTACCAGGACCTTGGGATAGAGGAACAATGTGGACTGTCTGTTAGGGAGCATAGATAATCTGAGGGTCCACAAGGACCGGTTTGAGAAACACTGCCTTAGCCAAACACTCTGTCCACTTAATCCCTCCCCCCGGGAACAGGGCAATCCAGCCTTCTGTGAGTGACAGACCTCTGGGGGAAGGAGACTTTGCATCTCCCCAGCCCAAAGGCATCCCTCTGAGATTCAACTTCAAGGCTGTATCCAACCAGGTAGGACCTTCCGGCACAAACCAGGAGATTCAGCTCAGCTTGACACTACAGTTAATGACAGTTAGCGGGTCATCATTGGTTGCCCAGTGTGAGAAAGGCCCCCAAGGTGTCCTTCACTTTTGCCTGTGTGAATACAACAATGTATTTTAATAATTACGTGCCACCTGACGTTTGGGTCCTTATGATTCTCTGCCTCGCAGACCAGTCTAACGCTCAACGACCGCTTCACCAACCTGAAGATCCGCGGAGGCTGGGGACATAGGCTGTGGAGGGGCAGGGGCCGAGGCAGCCGCATGGTCACCCTGCAATGAGCGGCCTCGGTGACCCCTGACCCTTCCCTGGGGGGGCGGGGCCTAGCTACGTAGCTCACCATACTGATTGGATGATTAAATCATGGCAGCTTTTAAAAGTGTGTCATACAGTGTGGGCAGAGGGAACAGGCCGATAAACCGTATTGTCCTGTCAATCATCTGACATCTGACCTTTCATTTTTATCTCTTTCCTTTGGCTGCTGTAAATAAACATAAAAATAATAATAATGGCTTCATAACCCTGTAAAAAAAAATCACACGAAGTAACAGACTGTAACTTTAACGCTGTAGTATAAAAAGTGCCCAGAGCAGAATAAACTGATTTGTACTGATGAGGAAATGAAAAATCTTCATTGGCTTATTGTTCAATAGCATTTAATAGCATACCTATAACTGGTCATTCCTAATTACACCAGTTGTGTGGAAATGAGCTACAGGACCTACAACAATCAGAGCATTGCACTAGTGACCCAAAAGTTGTGGGTTCAAATCCCAGTGACCTTTCCTTCTACTGCAAGTGGCTTTGGATAAAAGTGTCAGATGAAAAAAGTGTAAATATAGGGGCAGTGTGTGGCTCAGTGGGCTAAATCTCTCTGCCTGTGATCGGAAGGTTGTGGGCTAAGTCTCTCTGCCTGTGATCGGAAGGTTGTGGGTTCAAGCCTAGAAGCAGCAGAACAGTCATATGTCTCTGGGCCCTTGAGCAAACCCCTTAACCCCCAACTCCCGGAGTGCTGCTATGGGTGGCTGCTCTTCGCGATCAGCTTGCTCTCACCTATAGAGAGAAAGTTGGGGGAGGCGTAAAGAGAATTTCCCCACAGGGCTCAATAAAGTTTCTATTATTAATAGCCCAGTTAGTAAGTGTGTCTTGGTTAAGAAAAAATTCATATGAAACCATTTTTTACGGAGTGATTAAAAACAAACATCAAATACATCAACTCCTGTTTAGATAATAAAAAAATATGATTATTCTAAAAAGTTGGTGATTCAATTAAGGGCAATAATGAGAAAAGAGGGGTGTGGTTAAAGTGGGCGTGTTCAACTATATGTGGACCAATCAGGGCTCACGATGTGTCCATCATTCAGCAGCAGTGTCTGTCACAAGTCCCTAGTGAGACGCTGTGCACATACAGTACAGGGTGCAGGCTGAGCCTCTACTGCTCCCTCTCTCACCCCAGTGGAGAGGATAACGTTCTAAAAACAGCATGGCACCGTGTCGTTCGGTCGTCTTCACATTACTCCTGTCCGAGGACCTGCCCCTGTGTGCTGGAAGCTGCAATCTCATGTCCTTCCACAAGGTGGCGCAGGTACACAGGTGCAGGTATGGCTGAACATGACTGCTCTGACACAAAAACACTTCCCCGATCTGGGGGGGAGGGGGGTGCGTGCTTCTCGTCACTTTTTCACGTTGACAAACACTTTGATGGCCCCAGTGAAGTCAGCTGAAAGGAGGACCTCGGTGTGTCCCGTCCGGAGGGCCCCTGAGGAGCGGGACAAACCATCCGTCAGTCTTCTGGGGGGGGGCCTGACATTGGTGCTCCTGAGATACCCCTCCCCAGACTCACCTGATGGAATGACCTCCGGATCCCCGCTCCCGTGCCCTACATTTGGCTTCTCCGCGCAGTCCGCGGGCGGGACGATGAGGCCGGGATGTGACGCGAAGATGGCCGACGTTACCGCCGCGTTGTGGGCTGGGAAGACAAGTGGGAAATATAGACAGGCAGCTGGCATGTGCGATGGACAGGTCATACAGCTGCTGGGAGCAGCCACGTCACGTGACCCATTCCCGGGAAATTAGCAATCTGAGGATTTCACATCTCCTCCATTCTCAAAATGCATGTTTTTGTTCCACTCGGGCGGGGAATCAGGCAGCAGCCTCCAGGAAATAGGCACTGTGATATGTCGAGCCCTGAGGTAGGTACACGGGGAGAATGGGGCGGGTCATCAGGCTTTCAGCCGCGGTTACCTTTAATTCCTTCCCAGAAGTCATTGCGATCCCTCCGGACAGAGGCGAACTTGCTTAAATCATGGTAGGTACTCCAAATGTAGACGTATTTGTCCTCTGAGCCACTGATGATGAAGGAGTAATCGTGGCTGAAAAAGAGGCAGCGTAGCGAAAAAAATCACAACCGGTGTCAAAAACCATGGAAGAAAACCCCATTTGTTGCCCCACGGGCAAAGGCTGGACAGAGATATGGGCCTGACCTAAAGGTGGCCTTGATCTGACTGCTGCTGTTGACGTAACCTTTGTACTTCATCGATAAAGAAAGGTCCCTCAGGTCATACAGGCGGATCCTTGAGTCATTGGAGGTCACCAAAATCTGCCAGAAATAAAGCAATATCCTGCTGAGGTAAAATTTCCCTACTATACAAATACCACAGTTACTCCTGCAGGACCTAATCTGATTGGCCGAGTGACAGCAGTAAGAGCTAATGTGATTGGGTGAGTTACACCAGTGAGAGCTAATGTGATTGGCTGAGTGACACTAGTAAGAGCTACTCTGATTAGCTGAGTGAGTTGGCATTATAGTATGAGACCACACCTTATTTTCCCCTGGCAGCGGTTCAATCCCGGTTATTTTACGGCCCACGCGGTTCCTACCCCTGGTGGACCGCACATGGATCTGCGTGTGGTATTTGAGGTGCTGAAAAACCAAAAAATAATCAACTTCAGACAAACCGACTTCCCAAATACATTCTCATCCAATCAGAACACCTTAATGTCATGTGACCCTCTGTGTGGTGGGTGACTGTCATTCCACTGACCCCATTAACCACTCGCCTCAGTGTCGTAGAAGATGCAGCGCCCATCATATGTGCCGATGACGGCGTACTTCCCATTCTGGCAGAAATTGGCGGCGGTGATGAGGCGGCTCTGCCCGTCCACCTCGTTCCACAGCGCCACCTTCTTGTCGGGAATATTCCAGAGCCGCAGCTTGCCATCCAGGGAGCCGCTTAGGAAGTACCTGTCGTCCTGGTGACGAGATGGAGGCTGGTTACCGTGGCAACCTGCGTCAGGCAGCAGAAGACTGTGGGAGGGATTCGCTCACCCTGGGGTGGAACGCGATGGCCGTTACAAAGTCGATGTGCTGGAAACAGACCAGGCATTCTCTCCTGGAGATGTGCCAGAGACGGACAGTCTTATCCATGGACGAGGACAGCAGGAAGTAGTTCTGAGGCGAGGGGCGAGAGGCACTGGGCATTAGCAGCCATGACAGTTTGCATGTGTGAGCCTCAGCGCCATGACCTTCGACCTCTCACCTTCGACCAGGACAGGTCCAGGAGGTCAGCCGTGTGGCCCTTGTACTTGCAGAAGGGGACCGGCCGAAAAGGGGCGTGTCTGTCTGCCCCACTTAACTCCTCATCAGTGCTGTGAATCTAGGACAGTGCAAAGGAAACAGGCTGTTTTTTGGGAAGGTGATTTCTCAGGGTAGGTCAGAGATGCAAGCCTGCGTAAAGCCCGCAGGTGGCCCCGCCCCTTCGACAACCAACACAACACAAACTTCTAAAAAAAAAAAAAAACAGGACTCACCCCCACATCCGTGTCCGATTTGGAGGAGCCCACACTCTCCTGCGATGGGGAGGGGGACACTCGCCCTGACCCGATGAGGGAGACAGGTCCGTGTTGAGAAGTACCACACAAAACCGCACACTTCCCAGAGATTACAGTCCAGTGTCTCACTCCCAGGATCGGCTGTACATTTTATACCTCAACCCCATGAAACTACATGGTTAAACAGATTTATTTAAGGCCATTTAAGTACAGAACACTTACTGCGTTATATTCACATTACACACCCATAGACCCTAAGAGAGTCCTCAAACCGTTGGGTTATGGGCCTGATTTGCAGCCCCCATGTGACAGAAAACACCAGACACTATAGTTGAAATGAGTTGCTATGAATTAAAAACGTGTTACTTCCTGCCTGCAGGGGTCACTGTGGAGCCCCAGCTGGCCTACCTTCCGTGTTGTACTTCAGCCTCATGTGGTTGAAGTAGTCGAAGGCGTTTTTCAGGACCCAGATTCGGACCACGTTGTCCTGACCCGCCGTGGCCAGAACCCTCCCGCAGTGAGAGAACTTCATGGTCCAGACCGCACCCTGGAGATACCGGGGTACAGTCATGTTCAGACAGGCCTCCACTATTTAGGGAGGTCTGTGCTCGTGGTGAGGGGGCGGGGGGGGGCGGGTCAAGGCCGTACCATGTGCTCCCCACTCAGGTCTTGCACCACCTTGATCTGATCGAAGTCAAACGGGCCCTTGAATCCGTGGGCGGCCTTGAACTTGACGGGTCGGGTGTAGGGCATGCCCTCATCGTCACTGGAGGATGGTTCGTCTGGGTCCATGTGGAACACTGGATCAGAACAGGACAGCCTCCATCAGTAGCGAGCATCAGGTATGCTTGCTCGGTTCCAGTCCGCCCAGTTCCACTTATGGTTCCAGCCCACCAGGTTCCAGTTCCAGTTCTAGTCAGCCCAGTTCTGGTTCCAGTTCCAGGTCTCTCAGTTCCAGTTGCAGCTCTACCAAGCCCAGTTGCAGTTCTGATAGGGCTGGGTACCGAACTTAAATACTTTTTGACACTAA